GGGCATAAGGCGGGCAAAGGAAAACGGGAGAAAGGGGTGACTAGGAGGGTGGCTGCGTGGGTTAGTTTGATCAAACAACACGTTGTTTTCATTGCTCATTAGCGGCGACAGCGCGAGTTTAATTAGCATTGACGTTACGTCTGATACTCATTACGGTCCGGCGAAAAAAGGGTAAAGGCAAATTGCTGCTGTCAGTTGCTGCCAAACTTCAATATAATTAAGCGCCAGCCGCTAGCAACACCTTGGCCAAAAAATAACCAGAAAGTGGCCAAGAAAAATGGCAAAACACTTTGATTCAATCAGCCCCAAAAAATACAATCCGCATCGAGGGTTGTACAGGCAAAAACTAATTGCCTTTTCGACATGCATTTAATCTCTATTAGAGTACACACAAAATTGATGGAAAAGTTTTTGGCGTGGCCGCATGTGTGTATCCGCCTGACTCCCTGGAGTCCCATCTGCATGTCCAGAATCAGTGGCCACTCCAGTCCTCAGTCCTCAGTCCGGCTAGTCGGGCACCTTTGCCTGTTGCCGGTTGCTCTTTGCCGTTTCATAAATTATTAAGGGGTTTGTTTTCCACACGCCACTTGGCCTTTTGTCCATTTTTGGCATTTAAAACAAATTGTTGTTGCACGTTAGTTCGATTATTTTTGCCAGAGGGTGGCAAAACTTTTGCTTCGGCCATCCTGTGTGCTGATAATGACGGAAGTCATCACGTCTGAGGCTGGCAGCTTCGGCTCCAACTCCAGCTTCAACTGATAGATGCCAATTGGCTGGAAGGTGTGAGCACGCCTCTTACATATCAATAACATTTGTTAGTTTGCCTCACGTGAACAGGATCCCAGGACCGAAGCGAAGTCCTCGTGTGCAGCAGCTGTGGCGACTGCTGATGACCTTTTAATTGAAGTGCCGGCAGCCAAGTGTAAGATTTTGTTGTTCTTCTTCACTTTCGCATTGTACTATAATTTGATCAAGGAGATGCTAGAGCATTATTGTGGCAGGGGCCTAACTTTGTTACCATTGGAAATTCGGAAATTTTGCCAACTCCAATTCAAGCTGCTCAGTCGAGCACACAAAAATGCAAATAAACGCACATAAAACAATTTGAAATCAAATTTGATGATAAAACCGAAGCCAAGCCAGGCCAAGCCGCGGGAATCCTTTAATAAACAGCCAAACAGAAATTGAACACACAAAATGTAAGTAGGCAAATTCCGCGTAGCCAGCCACGCCCATTTGCCGTTAATTAAACCCTTCGCTGGAGAAAATCTTTTGGCCAACCACGGTGAAAGTTTTTCCATTAGGGCCAAAAGGAACGGGCCAGGGGTCGGGGCCTCGACCGGGGATGGGGCCATTGCCGTTGCCATTGCCGTTGCCGTCAGCCAAACGAAATCAAAAAGTAAAAATTTATGAAGCGTTTAATTGAATTAATTAAAAGCAATAATACCTTGAAATAATTGCGCCTAATAGAAAAAGTTTTGCATCGCTGGAGTTGAAGCTGCGACTGGCCGCAATTCCAAGTGCCAAATGTAGCTGTCGACTGACAATGGGCTAACCTTTTGGCCACTTTTTGCCACTGGCTTCTTTTGACATACGCCCAGGGGCGGAAGGCGGCTGGTCGGTGGCGGGGCAAGAGTTATGTGACAAATCCTGCGCACGCTAGCCCAAGCCATAAGTCAAAATTATCAACAAGACGGCAAACGACGGCGTCTGCGGCACACAGAGCCGTGTGTCCTGTGTTCTTGCAAGCTGCCTACAGTCTGTCCCTGTTGCAGTATGTGTGTGTGTGCGTGTGTTTGTGTGTGTGTGTGTGTGGCCGAGTGGCTACTGTCACGCACGTAGGCCACGCAACATTGCGAAAAATATGTCTTTGATGTCATAAATCAATTAGGATTGCCAGGCGTCGGGCTGCTACTGTCCTGCCCAGGATCTGAGCCTTAACAGCAAACAACTTGTTAGGCGGCTCGACTCACAGGCGCCCCAACCCCCCACTTTTCTGAAGGCCTCTGTTTTAAACGCAGTTTTTACTTGTTAAACTCGTGCACAAAGTGAAAAGAGTATTTTTGGTTTTCCGCAATATTCGTCCGACTGATCGACTGTTTCTTAATAAATCTGGCTGATTTTAAAGGTGTTATTCGATTGTGAGCGAGCATTACGCAGTCGGTTGCACCCGACTGCAAAATGTTCACTTACTTTCAAGTTTAAAAAGTGACCAAGAAAAAGTTAACAACACCGTCTGCTGCTGCGTCTTCTTGATTTAAGCGTAAAATCAAGTGGCGCAAATGAAGCAAACGAAGTGGATGAACTTGAAGAACAATCCACTCACACACACATACGCACACTCACATATACTACCAAAAGCCTTTTGTTGCGTAATTATGTCACACACACACACACGTTTCCTCTCCACATAGAAAGCAAGCAAGCCTGGAGTGTCATGTGTTTAGGTGCTTTTGTGTTAGTTTATCAAACATAATTAAGAAGTTGGCACAGCCAACGCACGATTGCTTGACAATAAACAGAAGTTTAATTATTTTGCCCAGCCAAAGTCCCGCCTGGAGCATCATCAGGCTGGCAACTGATTAAACCCAGGCTCACCTTTTGACTTATGATGAGTGCCGGCACCGGCTGATGTATTGCCCGATTTATGACAGCTGACAACTGACATCTGACAGCTGGCAGCAAGCAACAGGACATCATTAAAGCCAGCGGCTGTTTGCCGAAGGAGTTGCCAGCTTTAATGCTTAATTGCCGCCCAGACAAACAGCCAAGATGGCAGCACATTTGCGTAAATCAAACAATTAGTCATGGCATCTACATTATCGGGGCCCAAAACTATGCGAATTACTCGCATTGTCCACTTTTGGCCAAAGAAAATCTTTAATGTGTCCCCGCGGTGTTGTTTGTGCCTCGTCTTACAACACTGGAAGGTGTTGTGTCCTGCACTATTTTGTTAATTTATGCGACATTCTCGTAGTTTGCCATAATAACTTCTTATAGTATCACACATACTCGCACATGCATGTCCCATCCGAAACGGGTTCCCCTGTGGGGGTTGATGCTCATCCAGAACTGGAAAGAAAGTGTCCAAAGAACAACTCGCCACTCGACGCATTCATTAATTTATGGTTTTGGGTCTTTGAATTTATGTACTGCACAAAAATACAAAAGTATTTGTTTTAAAATAAAGGGACCCGACCTAAGGTGACGGCTCTCTGCTTTCCTGACAGCCAACAAGACAGTTGAAAATTAAATTAACTTAAATACTCACTTAGCTCTTTCAAATATTCAGCTTTAACTTTTACTAGTTAACAAATGAATCCTAACTTGATTTTATATAACAGAACCTACATTGTGTGAAGCATAGAAAATCGAAGCCTTCATTCAATGCTCTTTATTCTATTTGTTTGTTGGTACTTTTATTTGATTGCAAAGATTTCTGGCTGCAAGCATTCCTCTGCTTTGAGGAAGTGAGCTTCTATTTGCTTTAAATATCTGTGAGCTTTCATGTGCTTTGAAAGCTTCTCATTAAAAGTAAATGCAGAACATAAATCTACTTTGTGTCACATGTATTTTGTTTCAAAGTAGAGATGAGCTTTAAAGGGCTTGCTTTTAAAGATGAAGAACATGGGCAGCCGTTTACTAAATCAATTTTATATCTATATGCCATAGACTATATGCTATGTACTAGCTCATTTTAAAGTGATGCCCAACATTGTGTTTTGGTGCTTTTTCCCTTCGCCTTAGCGAATTTCAAAGCATTTGCTTTTGCACATTGTCTGACACAGCACACTTGAAAGCGATGTTAACTAATCCGTAAGAATATCAGTTGAATTGATTGTGCTGCTTGTTAAATAAATTGCATAAGAGTTGCTGCCGGGTTGTATTCCGTGTAGCTACACAGAGTTCGCTGCCCCTGGCTGACAGCATTACAAGACGTGCCCCTTCCCATCCGCCAACAATATCCCTCCCCACCAACAACAATTGCAATTGTGCAACTTTTGTGTGTTCTAAGTGGATAAAAACTCGTTTGCAAGCCTCTAAAGCTCGTTTAAATTTAACATTTTATTAGCGACTCACACCTGGTGCCGGGCTTGGAGCTGGCGCTGCTGCTGTTGCTGGAAACAGCGACGCCGACGTCGATACGTTCTGCTCGCTTTCGCCCGCTTTTCGCATTTGGTAATCAGAACCAAGTCGACGACGGCGCCGGCGCCGACGCTCGCTCTGACAACGGCCAAGTTCAGTGCCCTCGAATTGTGTTGACGGTTTTCGAGTAGAATTGGCCGGAGCGTATCTACTGATATGTTTCTTTCCAGACAATTTGCATTGAAACTAGGTTAAGCGTGCCCAGGTAGAGCCATAGAACACAGTTGCGACTCGGATGTAGCACGAACCATGGACCATTGTTGATGGCTAATTTTTTCAATAGATTGCTTAATCTGTGTGTACGACACATGAGTGTCCAGTGATTGCCTCAGCGACAACAACATGAAAAGCCAATTAGCCGCGAGCTAAGCTAGCAAATCAAATGTCCAACACGTAGACCAAATGGGAAACCTGTTAATATTTCAATGACTTTGAACTTTTAAAGCGTGGTTTTTCTTCTGTTTGGTGTTGACATTAACATATTGATTGGTATTTGCTTGACCCATTTGTGGGGAGCACTTGGTGCCCACGCCACTTCCACTTTCGTTCGAAGCGCGACTTTCTTTAACAATTGCCCATGGATTTGGGGCCCAAGCTTATGCGCTGACTTTGGGCCCAATGTTTGTGGGATTTGTCAGCGCTGCTGCGGCCACTTTGTAACCAGTTTTAATGACGATGGCGTCGACGTCGTCGTCGACGTCGATTCTCAACGTTGACGCCGATTCTTGGTTGGCCTTTTATAAAAAGTCTTTGGCCAACTTTCTTGAGCTTCATTCGCGTTTCAGGCGCGATCGTCAACGTCTCGTAAAATGAAAGCTGCGCTCTGCCTTTTACCGTTGTTGGCCTTAACCAGCATGGTGTGTTCACTGCCACCTCCTCCGGCCAAGGAGGATGCACTGCCCAACACGTTTGCCAGTGAGGCCTCCCAGCTGATTGCTACCCAGCTGCTGAAGCACAACAAAGATATCGATGCAAATCAGGTGCATTCGCCGCTGGGCGTGGCCTCCATACTGGCCGTGCTGGCGGAGGCTGCAGAGGGTGAGACCTATGCGGAGTTTGGTCAGGTCTTTAGCTTTCCCAAGGAGCGGCAGGATCTAAGAGCAGCCTTTGAGCGCATTCTGGGCAGCTATCAGAATCGCGATGCAGCTGTGGCCCTGCCCTCGTTCCAGACCTGGTTCTATGTCTATCGCAACAACAGCGTGCGCGAGGACTACAAGCAGCTACTGCAGCGTCACTATTACGTCGAGGTGAAGGATATCAATAGGCAGGAGTACGACTGGAGTGAGCCCAACACCTCGCTGCAGCTGGAGGGCAGTGGCGCCGATGTCGACAGCACAGAACCAAGCAATAGCAAAGATGTCATCGGTTTCGAGACACTGAAGCGCATTAACCTGGACGACGATGCTCCCCTTGTGCAAAGTGATACCTATGGCGAGGAGGTGCTAAACAAGGAGGCATCCAAGTTCGATCGTGAGGTAGATGACAAGCAGTATGTGGAAAAACCAGTTGCATTGGCCGAAGCTGCAGAACAGCTGCAGCGGGACCAGGAACGGGAGCAGCTGACCACCGAGCTGTCGGCAACGGAAGCAGCCAGCAGCAGCACCGATGCACCAGTGGAAAAACTAGAAAAACCAGCTGAAATTGCTCTGACCGTTGAGGAAAATGTTGCAGCCAAGCAGCAGAACAAACGCAGCCATGCCGAACAGAATCCAAATGTCGAGGAGAACGAGACGGTGCGGGAGGATGAAAAGCTACGCAAGCTGCTCAACGAGCCGAGCAACGGCGGCAACCAGGTGACCGCCGGTGAACCCGAGAAGGTGCGTCTACCCCTGCAGAAACTGGAAAATGCTGTCAAGTCAATGGTCAAGGAGGGTGCCGATGAAATTATGATTGCGCTCGAGTCGCATCTGAGCACAGTTGCTCGGGTATGTCTCAGTTGGGTAGCTTAATTGTGATTCTTTCAGCTAAACACTCTTGCCCTCTCCCCTTAGGCTTATAGCGCACGCAGTCTGTTCCGACAGGACGACATTGCCTCAGCACTGAGCGCCAACTCCATAACGGGTCGTGACCTTGGCTCCAAGTCCAAGATGCTGCTCTTCAACGGACTCTACTATCGCGGCAGCTGGGCTCAGCCTTTCTATCAGCTGCGCGATGGCAGCGATGAGTTCTTCTTTATGACAAACGAAGATGCCGTGAAGACGCCCATGATGCATGCGCGTGGCAAATACAACGTGACCGATCTGCCTCACTTGAAGGCACGTCTGCTTTCAGTGCCGTACGAGAATGCCCAGTACAGTCTGTGCATTGTGCTGCCCAATGAGCCCGAAGGCCTAAGCGAGGTCATTGCCCAGCTGCAGCCCAGCGACTACAAGTACGCACGCGAGCACATGCAGCTGAAGGAGCTGCATGTGACGCTGCCCAAGTTCCAGGTGGAGGAGACCTCACGCTCCGAGGCAATGCTCCAGCAGCTGGGCCTAAAGCGTCTCTTCTCCCGCACCGAGGCTCAGCTGGGTCTCCTCTCCGAGGACGAGGACATTCATGTCGATGAGATCGTGCAGTTTGTCAATGTGCGCGTGGATGAGGGCGGCAGCAGCGCCAACTCCTTGTCTGCGGCTACAATGCAGGGCCGCTCACCTATTGCCGCCGAAACTGCTGCCACATTGCCAGTGCCCGAACCTGAGCCAGAGCCGGGCGTAGAGCTTTTCGATGTGAATCGCCCGTTCGTCTATTTCGTAATGGACTGCAAGAATGAGTTTGTCCTGGCCTCTGGTAAGGTGTATGCGCCCGAGTTCAAGGATGAGCTGCCGCCCGTCTCCATTGAGGTGGAGCTGGAGCAGTCGTAGATCGTCTCTCCCATGCATCGCTAGCTTTTAAGTTTCGTAACGAATTTTCACCGATGCGCTTCATGCAATTATCATACTCCTAAGTGCCCATAAGTAATAAACGAGATTTTTAATTTCCCAAAATAAAAAAAAAAAAAAAAAAAAAACGGAAAAGGAAAATAAGCTCCTGGTCCCGATGAGGCCGGTTTTGATTTTCCCAGCCACTTGAGCAGAGCAGAGGCAGTCTAGCGAACTCGGCGTCCATTTGCTGCGCAATCAAAACAACAATTAATTCGCTTACTCGCTGACTGCTAACAACAACAAAGGCAGCAGCAGCAGCAGAAGCAGGAAGATCAACCCTCAGGATTCAATTGTCTGTCTGTAATATGAAATGTATCTGGCGGCGGGCATCGCTAATTTCCGTGCAGCGAATTTGTCATTGCATTTGGCTTGGGTTTTGGTAAGGGTTTTTGGGACAGGGGTTGGCTATGTTTATGCGCCGTGTGTCTGCTTTGTTGACTTAGCTCAGAGTTCCATCAATTCTCAGGCTACTCAAGCGAAAGCGCGGCGCATCCGACACGTGCCCCTGCTGGCAGCCCTGGCGAATCTGACAGCCTTCTCTTCAAGTGGTCAATGGGCTGCAATTAAAAGTCTCATTAGAATGCATGATGTCTTCTTTTGCCATTATCCAAGGTGGCCAGTCAGGTTCCACATACTTCCAAGCACACACCCAGCCAACCGAGCAGCAGACAAGCAACCAGCCAATGCTAAAAATGTGTGTCTGAGCGAAGACGTAGACGAGGACGCGGACGCGTCGTGGCCTGAGGGGGAGCTCAAGGCGCCAGGCTGGCGGGCGCCAAAAGCCAGAGGTAAAAACAGGAGTAAATGCGTGCCATGATTATAGTGATGACGACTGCCACCCCAGGCTGTGCTTGTGCCCAGCAACGTAGACCAGGGCCTCGTCTTGCTGCTTCTGCTGCCGCCAGCCGAGTAGACGATGATGTTTCATCTTTTCCACATGAAAACTCACGTAACAAAAATTATGATAATCATAACTTTTTTTTTTAGTTTTTCCTTTGAATACCCCGCATTGTGGGGCAGGCGGGGGTCCTTGTTTTGTTAGCCACTGGACAAAGGAGTCGCTGGCTGGTTTGCTAAGGTATTTTTGGGCCAGGCTGGCGTCTAGTTTTTGTCTGGCGCTCGCTCTATTTTTATTAAGTCTTGCATATAAATCAATGTTGCCAGATATGCAGAAGACCACCGAAAGGTATAAAAGATTTATAAGCGCTTTTTTTGTGTTCACTTTTTTGCCGTCAACTCGTTTAAACATTGTTTAACATAATTTCCATACAAAAGTTGTCGGATGAATAAAAAGTGAGTCGTCTCTTTTGCTTGTTAGACAGTGCAGTTTTCATAAGCAAAGACACCCTTAGCTCAAACAATCAGTTGTGATGAATAACAAGTGAAAGTGCTCTAAACGGGAGAATTCACTAAGAAATACCCAACAACATGCTGCCGCTGCAAACAGCGCTCCAGCCTGAAATGGAGAGTCAAACAAATTTTTAATCTGTATATACAATACGAAAACAACCAAATTGAATGCACTAGCTCTTATGACAATCATTTGAGTCTAAAAATCAAAATATATCTTTATAATGGATTCAGGGTATGAAATGTGTAAATTTCTTTGAGATACCCTTACCTCATCCAGTACACCCACTAGCTATTTGGCCTGGCACATAAATAAACCAAATGGCCATAAATCTATCCAAATGCATCAAAGACAAACATTTAGCTTGATGGTAATTTCAACAAAGCGTCACGCCACGTCTTGGGAGATTTATGGTTCTGCTTCAAGTCTAATTACAAGTTAAGTTCGCCGAATTAAAAATGTGTCTTCCCGCGGGCAACAAGTGTGGGAAATCGCTAGAATTTTCAATTGCGCCAGCTGTTTTCTAAGAAAAACTAAACCGAAACAAGTTGAATTTCAAAATACTCTCAACCCCCAGCCCCTGAACGGAGGGCGACGTTGACATTTGCGGCGTGAAAATGTAATGAACACATGTGGACGTCAACTGGCAAGGGGCTGCTCCAGTGGAGTGATTCTGTGGGGGTGTCAAAATCAAAGCCACAACAGACTGATACACATAGCTCATGTTAGCATAACAATCTTAAACAACCCGAACTTTATTTCTGAACAATAGATAACTATATGTATGCACATTGATTGGGATGCAAATCGTCTCCTTTAGCAGTCAACGACAACTTCCTCATACCGCATGTTGCGTGGCCTTAGCCTTCTTTCATAATTCACAATGGTAAAATATTTAGCAGGCTTTGAATTTTGTTCTTTTTTGGGTCGAGCTCCCAACTAGAAGTCAGCGAAAGCTTCCTCATGCCGCATAGTCTTAGCCTTCGGCTTATGCTTACCCTCGGGATGTTTGTCGAAGTTTGAAATATCCTCAGCATTCGATATAGTTGGTAAGTAGGGCGGCGCTATGGTCTGGTTGAGCAACGCTATCCATTCCACCTCCTTGAACCACTCATGATTCTTGATATCCTTGTTGCCACCAATTAAATTGCCATATCTGAAAGAAGAGTTTCGAGAGAGTGCACATTACCAAAGGATCGATTGACTTGCCGTTTCGAGAGATCCACTTGCAACAAATGATCCACCAGATGACGTAACGCCCCAGTGAATGCACTGGGCATTTTGTAGTCACCCTCGCAGATCTTGTTGTACATAACCATGACGTCACGATTGTGAGATGCAAACGGGGAATGACCGGTAACAAACTCATAGATAAGAACACCGAATGCCCACCAGTCCACGCTGGTGCCGTAAGGCTTTGATTGTATAATTTCTGGAGGCAGATACTCAGGAGTGCCACAAAGCGTCATTGTCCGCGTTTCTACTTTCTGAAATGTAATAAGGAGTTTAGTTAGTTAATTTAGTCCGATTGAAGTTCAATTGAAATTTCTTTTGCCACCAGCGACCTTTGCAAATCCAAAATCTGTAACCTTCAGATAGCCGTTTTTGTCTATTATAATATTCTCTGGTTTCAGATCGCGATAAAGCAGACTGCAATGATGAAGATACTCTAGAGCCAGAAACACCTGGGCCGCATAAAAGCGAGCCTGTTTTTCACTAAATTTGCGAACTCTAGGGACATAGATAAGGTAATTGGCCGATAATATATCGATGAATAGCTATATCACTAACCTGCGATGGTATGTGAACAGCTCGCCTCCAAGCAGTAGCGGCAGGATCAGGTAAAGGCTGTCATTATCCTTGAATGAAGCTATCAGATAGACGGTGAACGGGAAGTGAATTGCGTTGAGAACCCGTTTCTCGCTCATGACATGCATCACCTGTTTTGTCTTTACGATCTGATCTTTGCTTAGCTGTTTCGAGGCGTAATACTCATCAGTGTCCTTTTCCTTGACTAGCTGCACCTTCCCAAACGACCCGGATCCTAGAGTGGCTTTGATTATGTAGTTGTCGAGACCACACGATGGTGACGGTGTATTGCGGGTAAACCTTTTGTTGAACTCATCCTTCAGTTTATCCAAGATGACACCGTAGTCAACTTTTGGACTAAAATACTGTGGCTCCAAAACTGATTGCCGCCCCATTCTGATCAACTCGATTTTTCAATAATATACAACTTTTAATTTACTCTTACAATTTCGAATATTTACTACAAACTTAAAGATCCATAAACTAACCAGATAGGTGAAACAAAAAGCATGGGCTACTTGATTTAATTATACCCTGATTATTGTGTGGGACTCTACCCAATGAAACAATTAGGTGACGTTTCCGACTCAATCTCTCTTCTCCCCATCCATAAATCCAATTAAAAGCACTTTCGGACAGTTTTAACAAAAATATCTTGAACCAATTTTGTCTATATTTCTTAATAATTTTGCCATATGGATGCGGGCATAATCCGCGCGTAGCTGGAAATTGCCAAATCGCTGAAACACTTATTCATTAAGTTTTCATGGAGAGCTTTGAAAATTAATTTGAAGCAAATCGGACTCAACTAAAAAGTTTGCCCTTAAAATCTTTGAATGCGCATTTTTACCAAAGATGTTTGGATTCTGCGAAAATTGTGAAACACGTTTCAAATGATTTTTCATATAGAAATGAATTTGAACGCGAAACGTCACCCACCAAATCATGGACTTCCATTTCCACCAAATACATATGAACAAAAATCTTTAAAAATTAGTTTAAGGCCGAAAAAGTATCATACAAAAGATTTTCGCGAATTTGCCATACATACGGATGGAATTCCCGAAACCCCATATGGTTTCAGCTTGCTATCTCCTACGGTTTATGCTGTGCGTTGATTACCAATCAGTCAGTTAGTCAATCAATCAGTCAGTCAGTCAGGACAAATAGTTGTATATAAAGTTTATAAAAAAATAAAATTAAGGAGGACCAACGTTTAAAAATTATTAAACAACTCGGGATGGCGATTTATTTTTGACTTCAATTTTGATTTAGCCTCAAAATTTTCAAAATTTGACAAATCTTCAATATTAGACACAGTCGGTATATAGGGCGGGCTAATTTCCTGATTGAGGACTGCAAACCAATCGACGCCTTGAAACCATGGATGATTTTTGATATCCGCAGAGCCTTCGGTTGAGTTACCTAAACTGAAGAAGCGTGCTTGAAATGCGGTCCTTAAACATATCCAGAGTGCTTACCGCTTGGAGGGATCCACCTGCAGTAGATTGTCAATCAGATTCTTTAGTTGGCCCGTAAAGAACGAGGGTGCACGATACTCAGCTAAACAAATTTTCGAGTACATCAATATAACGTCACGATTGTGCATAGAAAATGGCGAATGACCAGCCACGAACTCAAAAAGCAATACGCCAAATGCCCACCAATCGACGGACTTACTATACGGCTTCAGTTGAATAATTTCTGGCGCCAAATACTCTGGAGTGCCACAAAGCGTCGAAGTACGGTTGTCCACACGCTGAATGAAGGATGTGAATGAATGTTTTAATGAAATTCTTCGAGATATAAATGAAATGTTGCCTCACCTTGGTAAAGCCGAAATCTGTCACTTTGATATAGCCACGAGCATCCATCAGAATATTCTCTGGCTTAAGGTCTCGATACATGAGACTCATGTGATGCAGGTACTCGAGGGCGAGCAGCACCTGGACTCCATAGAAGCGGGACTGCTTCTCATTAAACTTCCGCACTCTTGGTGCATAGGAGAAAAACTGTGACTATAATTGCAGGACTAACCAAGTTAATGATAGCACTCACTTGCGATGGTAGGTGAACAACTCGCCGCCATTGATAAATGGCAGCACCAGATATAGATAATCAAAGTCCTTGGTGGCATCAATTAGATGGACCAGAAATGGGAATCGTACAGAGTTCAATACGGTCTTCTCATTGTGAACGTGATTGACCTGTTTTAGTCGCACCAGGTCCTCCTTATTCATCATCTTAGCTGCATAATAATTCTTGCCCTTCTTCTCCCTGACTAGCAACTACAGGCGGGCATATGGGGGTTGAGGGTGGATACATTAAGATAGGGACAGGTTTTAGGGACAGGATGACTCACTACAGTGCCAAAGCTGCCATTGCCAAGAACGGCGCGCTGCACATAGCTCTCTAGGTTGGTGTAGGGCGACGGTTCTTGGGCTTGCCAGCGCTGCTCAAACTCCTGCTTGAGGCTGTCGAGTATGGTGGTGTAGTCCTCCTTTGAATTGAAAGTTGTCCGCAGGTGCTGGCTACTCATAATCAGCACACAGACCACTTGAGCATTTTCCACGACAAGGATGGACAACACACAGGACTGGAGTATCTGATAACTTGTACGTACAGCTCAATAAACTGATAATTTGGACATTCATAATTATGACAGTTTTTGTATTTATATTGCTTGACAACGAACAAAACAGAAAAAGCAAAACATTTATATTTACATTTAAACGAGTCTCGGGCTATTTCAATTAGTTGGGCGAGCCACTCAAATTGGGGCAAAGGTATGACAAATAGCCACATACCCTAACCCAGACAGACACCGCAAGACCACATGACCACATCAAATGCCAATTTCCTGTGCATTGTCGGCCCACACATGTCAAAGTCACCGTCAACCTTAACGTTCACGTCACATCGACTTTTTGATGCCGTCCTGCAAAAGTAAGAAAAATTGCAAAACGTCCACTTGATAAATGATGCCAACCAAGATTACATAAGTTGGTAATTTTCTAGTACATTTATTTCTACATGTCAGCTAGTCAGTCGGAGCTCGGGCCAGCTCCAGTTGGCCAACATTTTGCACTTGGCATGCGATGATGGACATCTCTGGCGTCCAGCTCTGCAGCTGAAGTCCTCAGCCTGATGCTGATAAGAGTGAACCGGATGCTCCGGTTGTTGCATGGCTTTTAAGGTAACTGTCGACTGGCCATGTGTCCATCAGCCTGTTGTTGGACCCAAATTGACAATTAATCATTATCTTTCAGCGTTCTGAGCCTCAACTTGAACCTGACGAGTTAGTTTTTGGTGGTGTAGGGGTGGGCAAGTGGCTGAGGCAATTACAGATTGCTTTGGGTTAGGCTCTCATTTCGGGTTGTGTGTGTGCAGAGGCATGTGCAAATGTCTTTCTAAATAGGTTTGGGATTGGCTCTAATGTGACGGCATTTATTTTGGAGAACTTCATTATTGATTGACAAAAGCTGCAGCTGGAGCAGCGTAAATTGAAATCCAAACCGAATTCAATAGTAATATAGTTTACTTTGACCAGAAAAAATGTGTTTTTGTTAAGCTAAATTCTACACTTTGTATATTCACATATATGTTTTTAATACACTTAAAATTAGAAAATTTGTCACGTACTTAACATAACGCAATTCGCTCCCTTTCCCTACTCCAAACAGCTTTCACTTGCACTCTCCAGCTCTATCTCTCTCTCTCTCTCTCTCTCTCTCTCTCTCTCTCAGTCTCTCTCTCTCCCTTCCTCTAGCCTACTCTCTCATCCATTTTGAGTCTGTAAATTAGAAATCGTGCAAAAACTAAACAATATCACTTAGAACGACCCAGTCCCAATCCAAGAGCTTGGCTCATTTAACTTCCAGCCACAAGATGTGCCCCTGTCCAACACTCTCCACCCCCTCCCCACACATACATAAGATAAACTCCAGTGAGGCTAAGATATGTTAACGACTGCAATAAATAAACGGATAATATCTAGCGAGTGCTAGGCCTTCCATAAATACACATATCCACGTCCACGAGTTGGCTTCAACGGCGTCTTGGACTTGAGGAGAGATGGCGCATCTCTAAGCGGTCCTAGACCAGATTAAGTCATACGCACACGTATCACTCTCCAGGCAAACCAATGCCAATTCTTTAGCTGCTTTGGTAACACTTAAAATTCATTAGCTGTATTAGAAGGCGCTTGCCTCGGCTCGGCTTGGCTCGGCTCGACTTGACTGCGCTTGGCTTATGCAAAGTAATAGACGCCCCGATGAACTGTTGACACGCTCGACATTTGTCTTGGCGCTTGGCGCTACACTTGGCTAATATTTGTTTTAGTTATCAGTGACATTTCTCCTTTATTTTTCATGCTACGCTTAAGTAGGTGAAAGTGATGGCCAAATTCAATTATGCTGAAAGGTTTCGCTATTGTCTCGACTCACATGGAGCATACCAAACATATACCACATTTTGCGAACAGCCCTCGCCATTAGCGTTAATCTCAGCACAAACGGGATATGAATCATGGCACATTCACAAGCACTCGCTTTCGCTCTCCCTGCTGCATGCTGCAGGAATGGCGAATGCATTCACTGTGCACAGTTCAGCGGGCAGCAACAATGTAACCGTATTCCACCTCTACGCCGCCCTTCCACGTATGTGTGCAAAAGGTGTAACTAATCCGCAGGGCATGTGACTTTTGTCATGCGCCGCTGTCAGTCACTGGCCTTAAACCGCCTGCCCCTGTCCTACTCCAGTACCTATGCCGGATACCCAAACCCTTTGCCAATGCCAACAGTTTCCAGTCAATTCCACCCCAAAAAGGCGGTGGACCTGCCACCGTTTCTTCCACCTTCAATCATCGATGTGGATTGCCCGCCATTGTTGTAGTTGCTCGTTGGTTCCATGTAATCCCTTGATTTGGCCAGAGACACTGGCAGGGCCAACGGCGTTCTACGCCGCGGGTGGCAACGCTGACATTTTGCAGCTGGCTGACTTTTGTCCATGTTGAGGTAAGTTTCGGCATAAAAAATATATATATTGTTATTCATTATTATGATTATTTTAATGCGCATTTACTTAGTTCCATTGTTGGTGCACTGGACTGTGCTGACATTTGACTGTTCGCTACCTTTTGTGTTGCCAGATCGTCATAAATCAGGCATGGCCAGAACCCATTGATGATATCAGAGCAATAAATCAATTGCAAATGACATCAGGTTCTATATGCAGACAAATAACGCCACAGTTATATGATGCATACACATATCAAAATGGTTGCATACGAAATTTATATTTGAATAATCAAAGAGTTTGTATTCGTTTAAAAAAAATGTTTTTGATTCCTGATAATTTCCAGATTTTCACTGAAACTATCTTAGTTCTTCTTTTTTCTAGAGCAAATTTTCTTTCCATGTTCATTCATGTTTTATTCTTGAATTCTTTTCTTTCGGAATTTTCTTTCCCTGTTCATAGCTTATTCTTGTATAATATTTTATTAAAATATTCGTGCAACTTTGCTTATGTGAATTTTCTGTCCGTGTACTTGTTCATATTCTAAACAATAATTTTAGGGCCTTGCTGAATGAAAACAACTCATTGTATGGCATATAGAAAAGGGCGGGCAACTGAAAACTGTGGTAACCGGCCTGGTAAATGGCGTTGGCAAATAATAAAACAATGCTGGGATAAAAACAATTGCTATTGCTACAATTTTAACATTTGCCATAAATAAACATGAGCCGGTAGCATTTCCCCAGTTGCATGCATTTTTCGAGGAAATGCAAAATGCTGAACATTTTATTGAAATTCAATTAAAGTCGTATTTCAATAATTGGACACGCATGGTGCGCATTTCCGTGCCGCTCGATTTCAAAACGCCGCTCAAATTTATGAGTTTTCAATTTTTGGCCAATTGAAATGTTGCCACTTGGACTATTGGCTGCCCCAATTGTTGCTATTGTTGTTGATGTTGTCCATTTGGCGGAGGAAAACGGAAATTGGTGCAAAATTGATGCCCGCTGCCCGATGTCGAACTCCATCATGAAAGCCACGGTGCATTAGGCTGCACGTCCTTATCAGTTGGGCTCACCCTCGGCGCCTTGCCTTGGCTACTCCACGTTGGCACACACACACACGCACACGCACACCACTGCACCCCACCCCGTCTGGCACCCTTAGCGCATCTCTCACGTTAAGTGTGCAAAATTTTTGCGTGATTTGTGCGAATTTCCTCGTATTAGAACTGAGATAAAACTTACCATCGGAGGCTGTTGGCGGAGGGTTGTTTAGTTTTGGGCGACTCCTTGTTGTCATTGCTGTTGTTTAGTGCCATAAATTTTTTTTACTTGTCATATCTGGTTCTCCATTTAGGCACAGATCATTAAGTTTCTACGGCATTTCGACATTTCTATCTGATTTAAAGATTTGGCTGCCTCACTGGCAGCGATGAGAACATGTGTTTTAATAATTCTTCTTCTCTTATTCCACACATAAATATAGTTTTTTGAGCAAGTCTACATTCATAAATGGCTTTATTTATACGTGCGTATATACAATCACGTCTCTGCATTTATTAATTTGTCAATTGCGGCCTGTCATGGCTTATTAGCATTGGCTAGGCGAATTTTAATTAAAGAGGCGTTGATGGAATATTTCAAATATTATTTAGTCAACACTCGAATGGTCTAAGCAGATGCAGATATCAACAAATAAATTAAGAAGGAATCAGAATTATGATGTCTTAAAACGTAAAATGTGAACTAAAGTTAAATAGACAACTTAAATGGGAATACCTTGTTTTACATTTTTATCTTTAGATATATTCTCAACTGTTTGCCCCAACTGACTGACTTTTTGCTGATCAACACACAGAATAAGGTAAAAGGTGGACAGCTAAAAATTATATTGTAAATGAAACAAATCAAAAAATCAATACGATGCTTGGACAATCATCCAATCCAAAAATATCTACCACTCCTGGTTGAACAGTAGGTATTAAAGATTGCATGAGTGCAAGTTTAATTCTCGGCCGTAAACTCACCTTCAATGTGAAGAGACTGAATTCGAATCCAAACCACGATTGTAAAATATGCAGAAAAATTAAATTTTTGATATTCGATCAACTTCAAAAATATATTAAAAAATCTTTATAAAATGTATTTTTGAGACGTGAAGTGCAAGTAATACAAGTTTATTCGACGGACGAAGGTTAAGTAATATACTTGGCTAACACCCGTTGGTATATAAACTCTCAGATTGTTAGTCACTAACTGCCTGTTATCTTCAAGCCACTAACCCGACAATAAATAAGACTTTCCTCGCTAAAACACACTATAAGATGTCTGGCACAATAAACCGTCTGGGTGCCCCCCACCCCACCCCCTTTTATTTATTCAAAAATGGATCTTCTTGGAGTAACTAAAAGAACTATGACAAATTTCAAATAATTGATACATCACCTTTTCTACATTGTAACTTTTCTCAAATAGCACGAACTATTTGACGCATAAGCGGAAATTCCTTCAGAAGGAAGGCGGCTAGGAAAATCAACCTGAGACGTGTTCAAAGCAAAACACAACCGCAACCGCAACGAAAATGATGACATAAATTATGCTATCTATGGATGAACCACATATATGTAGATATATATCTGGGACCATAGCTACAGCATCTTCTGCATCTCTGTTGAGCAACGTCTTTAGATCTTGACTCTCCAAGATCTTATTTCTAGAGTGCGGCATTTAAATTTGACATGGGCGCGATTTGCACGCTTAATTGAGACAGGTGCCTGGGAATAGGAGCGGGAGCGGGATCGGAACCGGGAGCTGCTGCGGTAGCAATGTGGACACTGAGCAACTGTGACATGTGTTCGCTGCTGTTGCACAAGCTGCAAGATTTATCATCGTGCCACGTGTGTCATTACGGGCGCTGCGTTTTTCACGGGAATAGCGAACGACGCACGCCAAATGCAAAATTAACAACCTAATTAATACCTAGGCCTGTCAAAAGGCACCTCGACATGCCCATTCGCCCATCCGTCCCGCCGCCCAGCCGCCCAACGGTCCATTGCCGGGCAGCTGCTCCAAAAGTGTTTACCCAGTGTGAGGGCGGACGAGCCGGATAGCTGGCATAGTTGGGATCTGGGATATGAGATAGTGGGGAAATTTTCGTGATTTTAATTGGTGCCCAGAACGTAACCCTGTCTAACACATGAGTTGGAAGCGAACCGCAAACTAACTAACGGCCAGCGGGCGGGCAGTCGCTGTCAAAGTCAGCTGCTGCTGCTGGTGCTACTAAAATGGCTAAAAACGGCTAAAAATGCAAAATTGACTGCTGCCGTTTGAGAGCTTCAACCATATTGAAGGCGTTTGCGGTTGGCTGCCAGCACTTGGCCGGACGTTTATTGAACATTTTTACTTGCGGTTCAGTTCGGTTCCCTCGGGCGCGGTGGCGCGATGGGCCAGCATTTTGGCTTGGCTAACTGGCAGCTGCTTTGGCAGGCGCTTTTATTAATTTCAGCGAACGCGTCTCAATTTCACGGACAGTCATCAGTATTAAATGCAAATGGGATTTGCAAACAAAACCAGGAGCAGAGACAGCGCGAGGGAGAGAGGGAGAGAAGGAAGCTAAGCAGAGGCCAAGACAGAAAGTGCCATAGATTTGGTGGTTGTCCTGAACGAAGCCTGTAAAATTGGCCAAAAATGCGTTAAATGCAAATTGGATAAGAAGTCGTGTCGGGCTATATACCACAAGTAAGCGCGACAAGCAGGACCAGGCGATGCATATGGTTGCCAAAAACAAAAGAAAAAAATTTGAAAAAAGGAAAAAGAAGCAGCAGCAGCAACTGTATCTGAAGCAGTTGCTGAAGGATATCCGCAAGGATATGGCACTCGCATCACATGACCGGCGAGTGTGAGGCCGCGTTTCGTGTTCATTTCACAAATGAAAGCGGCGACAAACTTTAAAGTGGATTACGTTTGCCTAGCACGGCCACCAAGACCAGGATATATCCCGCCACACGCCCTGGCGCCCCTACTATATATTCCTCTCTCGCACAGTTGTGTTATGAACCGCTTTGCTATCTGCTGCCGCATGTTCTTGCAACATAAATCCGTGAGTTTTTGCGCGCAAATTTATGGCGCTGGCGACACTCGGCTCAAACTTCTGCTGCCAGCGGCATTGTTGTATTTATGACCGCGACATGACCTGATCCTGCACTAGCTCCTGTTCCAGTTCCTGTGTGCTATACTATGCGCTCTGTTGTGGGCGACTGGCGCTGAAAGTGTTGCGCGTACGTGCAACCTCAGCCTCAAGCTGCAAGCCGCAAGTCTTAAAATTGCCGCTCGGAAATTGGATTTGTTCGGGAGCCAAACTGGCATCTTAAATCTGCACGCCTGTCAATTTGCGCCTTTTTAAGCGCAATTTATGTGACCTCTTTGGGCTCTGCTCCTAATGAGCAGCGGCCGCCTTTGTCCGCCTGCAAACAAGCCAAACAGCCCGCTGGCAGCGTGCCCCAAAACTCAATTGAAGTTAATTACGTGGAAGAGGCACACAGTCACAGTTACAGTCACAGTTACAGTTACAATTACAGTCGGCCATTTACATGTTCCACTCCCCCACACAAAAAAAAACCAAAAAAATAAACATAACTGAAAAAAAAAGAACGCTTACATCGAAAGCAAACGACTTGGAGATACTCTGTGTTTTTCGTGAAAAATAGTAAGGACATAATCTGTTGGTTGGTTGTGGACATTAAAGGAAATCAGAACACCCTTGATATCTTGTAAACTAACAGAAAAACTTGTATGACCTTACTCCAGCTAAAAGCCACGATCCTTAAAACACGTTCGATGTTGCATTTTTGGGAATATTTTAGATTAAGTTTGCAGTTCAATCCTGAAACACGAAACATTGATTAGAGGTGACGTTTGTAGGTGTGACAAAAAAATCTTAAACCATTTTGACAACGGATGATAACGGACGAACGGATATCTCAAAAAATATAATATGCTGTGTGTTGACATCTAAAAGCAGGGTATAATAAAGAAATAATCCCATTTCATAGATGGAAATCAATTCAACCGGATGCATAGCGTCGATGGCGGCTGCTGACCGTTGGCCGTTGGCCGCTGCCCGCCGTCAGCCGTCCGCCGTCCGCTGCCCGCTCAGCGTCCGCTGCCCATCGCCCATCGCCAGGATGTCAATTGTGATTGAGCGCGTTTTGCTTATGGCTGCAGAATCCCATTTGTAGTTCTTGTTGTTTGCTCAACGTCTCAGCAAATGGGCAGCCAAAACGTAGCCATAATTATTGTTATGTTAATAAAGAGGACTTGTCCAGCATTTTGCCAGGATGGAGCTGTTACTTATTTAGAGGGTGGCACTGAACCCCCAATCCCAACTATGTGTTTGGCCATTGATTTTTACGTTATGTGTTTGCGCTGGGACTTTGCATAAAAATGGCTAAGTGACACAAAGTTTGCTGTATCGATAAAGATTCTGAAATACTGTATAGCCGTAGCTATATAGAGCTAACGGGCTGTTTGAGTTTCGGCTAAACGCCTGCAAGTATGCCACAAATTTCAGTCGCACGCCATTAACAGCAGACTCTCAAGTCAAGAGGCGTGGCAGACGCACTCCTTTCAGTTTTTTTTTTAGAAATTCGCCACAGTTGTTGGTAGCTGCAACTGATACGAGACGCTGGCTCAACGCCTACCCCGATAGGTGTGACACATCGTGTGATTGATGAAATGTGGCAGCCGAGAGGCCTTCCGGCTGCTGCAGACCACCAAACTAATTTCCACATTTTTCACATTTACGAAGACAAATTGAGGTGCGAACTTGGGTCGAGGCAATAAAATTGCCGAATATCAAAACAACAAAATCTTTTGCAACAGTCGGCCATAAAAAAAACGAAGAACCAAAGGAGTCTGCTTGGCAAAACAAAAAAAGGGTTTGAGTGCTTGGGCCGGAGCAGGGGGTTAGGGGTATTGCTACATTTGACACAGAAGCTTCAAAGTGTCGCCAGAGACGATGCTGCGAGTGTCAGGCATGCGAATGCCAATTGTTTTTCGATTTCGGCGCTTAAAAATGCGCAAATCCGTGAGCGGCACATTATGCGACGGCTGCGGGCGGGGCGGGGCGAGACGGGGCTGGGCGGTCGGTTTGGCAGGGTTACGGCTTGGACCTGGGCCCACTACTATAAAACTCAATATCTACAACCATAAATTTCAAGCCGCACACACACGACTTCGATACAGTTGCACAGCTGGGGAAACGTGGCGAATCGATGTCATTGCTGATTTCTATTTCTATTTCGATTTGTGTTTGTTGTTTCTTTTTTTTTTAAGTTTTCCATTTCATTTCGTTTTATGTGCGACTCACCAAAAGTTGTCAACGACAATTCGCTAGCCATAAACGTGGAAAGCCGCCCAGCCTCTAGGCTTTTCAATAAAGCTCAACACCAGCCGCAGACAAGCCCTCACCCTCCGGACATCATTTCTATTAGCATAATGTTGCTTCGACTCATCTGATTTCAGGCCCTGGCTGGCTATCAGCTTCGATTTGCTACAATTTTATTTATTGTTTTTATTTTATTTTATTTTCTTTGGACACGACAAAGTTAAACATTGAGCTCGTAAAAAAATCCAAATTACATTTTAAATAGTTCTTGTTTCGATACACAGTATTTTTTTATTGTTAATTTATGCGCATGGTAAAATTGAATTATCGAAGGTTGGCGGCAAGTGCGAACCATCAAAATTGACCATCGAAATTGCTGCCCAGAGATTTGGGAAGAGCACATTGCCTGATGCTGATATCCAGCTGTATTTTTCTGAGCAACTGCAGCCATTAATTGAGCTGCCTTTCATGCCCAATGCCACATGTCAATAGATACTCGATAATCCACGGCGTATACATTATACACAGAGCTCAAGGTCATGTCAAATGACGACCTTGAAACATGTGCGAAATGAGCTCGAGATCCATTATAATTTTGGCGCCTCGATTTGTAACATTTCCCCAATTGTGGTTCAAGTGCAAAAATGGCACAGTTCATGAAAACAGCTGAAAAGAGTCAGAGTACATGTGATTATCTAGGGCTATCACTTCAGTCGGGCAAAGTGAAAAGTGGAAACTCTGCATAAAAATAGATCGCATATGGTTATATTGTCCAGCATCTGTTTTGTATAAAATTGCGAAATTAAAATCGAAATCAAATTTTCTTCAGCTGCCTGACAGACACTTTAATGCGGCCACAAACAACCACAGCGAGCCAAAGGCCCAAAAAATTGTTCCAAGGTCAGCGCCAACGATTCAAAAGCACACGCACCGCACAGTGATCGAAGGGATCCACAGCTCCGGTGCTGACATGGTAAAGCAGCGCGTACAGATTAAAGGGCACACGCTGCTCACCCTTCATGCGCCGCCAGGTGCGCTGCACCAGGGTGCGCAGGCGCCGCACACTGGCCTGTGGGCATTCCTTTACATAGCGCTTCATGAAGATTTCCTTGAAGTTCTCGTAGGGCGTTGGCCGCAGCTCGTGGTCAGTTAGCGCCTGCCAATAGAAGCAGAACTTCTGCATGGGTTTTAGGCTCTCCCAGGTGGGCTTTGTTCTTTGACCGTCGCCCGCGCACAGACGACTAACTGTAATTTGATGCAGCTCCTTGCCGCAACGCTCCAGCTGCTGTAGTCGCTGCTCCGTTAACTTTTCGCAGGAGCCGAGCGGCTTGCAAGATTTTCTTATAAGTTCCCGGACCTTATCATCAGACTTGCCAGTCTTAACCTTATCTCTCTTTTGCACCTGCTGCTTTTGGCAGACTGGCTTCATGATGTCCATGACACTTTCGGTCAGATCCGAGTAGCGTATGAGTCGTGACTCGCATAGCGCCTCCGCATCGTAGGTGACCAGTCGTTTGGGATACTTATGCCGGATGGTATAGCTAAGACACTCCACGGGCTCCGAGTAGGATGCAGTCATAGAGATATCTGTCATATCTGAGGATTTGCATGGCCCACCCATCCCCCCGCACAAATCCAAACAAAGTAATTTGCATAGATGTTCCATAAGAGAAAAACACTTTTACGTAATTTGGCCAGGAAACAGAAATATATTTAAAGACATGCGTTTGTATTTGTGCGTGTGTGTATAGAAATGTTTTCAATTGTTTGTATCAACTTTAGCACACGAAAAGGAGCCCCCAGAGGCGCCTACTCAGCCGCAAGCCGCCTCATAATTTAGTGTTCATGAAAATATATGGTCCTATATTATAAATGCGAAAAATAGTCGTTGCTATTATCAATAAAAATCTTGCTCGAATGGGTGACTCGGTGGAAGCAGGAGGCTACAAAATGACAGCTATATTAAAAATGCTGCTGTTTGCGCAAAAAAAAAGTGACGGTGCTCCAGTCGGTGGTGCACGACTAGGAGATACCCTGGCCATGAGTCATGCATGCTTGAATTCTTGATGGTTCTATTAATCCGATTAATATATATTAAATTGTTTTGGTCTTAAATTGTACATCCAAATTGGATTTTTTGCTTTAAAGTAAATCTCTTTCTCCCTAAACCTATGTGTGTTTCTTTTACAAAATTTGAATTATTTTGGTTCTGTGTTTGCTATACCAGGATCTGAAGCTAAGTAGTAGTTAATAGAATAACTTACATTCCAAGCTTAAAGTATTCATGCCTCATAGTTTCTGCTCAAATAGATAGCCTAGGTTAGATTGACTCCTCTATTGATGCTAATCAATATACTCTTTCTTTACCTCTTTACAATGGCTACAGGGTATTGATAGAAAGATAGAAAAGGAAGCCGGCAACTGAGCATTTGGATTTGTGCAAATATTTTGGTTGGTTTTTCATATTTCCCCGGGAAATTTATGTTTTGTGCTTATTATCCAGTGGAAGTTCCCAGTCTGCGGCAACATATACATATATCCATATTCATTCTTCCGATTAAGCAGTTTTCATGGTCATCATTAAATATGTTCATATACCAGTCGCAGCAATCTGTGATGTTTGCCAAATAAAATAAGTGGCCTAAATAAAAACGTTGGCCATATTTTTGCGCTGTTTACGAGTCAATGCGAACGAAACGAGGCGACATTCGCCCGACTGTCTGTACTCCGAATGAAAATCGCTGCAATTATTAAAATTAATTTCATTTATTACATCATGAAAATAGCTCAACGTAAACGTTGCCGAAAATATGTATTTGGCCGCAGGCTGTCACAGCAATTAAGAACTGTGAGCAGCAATTTCCCAATGTCCTTAACATTCATTGATAGTCCTTTTTGCCACCCTTCCCCTGCCCCTGCCGGGAACGACATATTCTGCCGCTTCTCTCGCTGGTAATTTCAAGTTAATAACGCCGAAATATATAATGCACGTTCGATTTTCCATCATATTCTCCCTCAATTGCCAATTTGGCAGCCATTTTGCGTTTATTTCCCAATTGTCCAGCATGACATTAGCAAAGCTAAGAAATGTCCTGTCCAGGACTACCTATAAAATCTGCTTTTAATTGCTCGCAATGCTCGTCAAATGCGCATTTGTGCGTTGACAGCATTCTGTGTACTTTATGAGACAACACAAATCGATTTTAGCTAATTCATAACCAATTTAAAGATTCTCAAGTTCCCCATGCACAATTCGTACAAAATTACACTAATTAAATCAAGACTGGGAGAAAAATGGGCATGGCATTAGTCTGAACTTTCAACCGCGATCCACCGAAAACGAATTTTTATTTAGAGCCATGGACTTGCATACCTTGAATTTATAATAAAAATATTGTCTAGCATTAAATTGTTGAGTATGAGAGTCCCATTTTCCACTTTACCCTGCCTTTTATATACATCTCTCGCCTCCCACGCACAGAAGTTGCTTTTAATTCCCTTAGTTATTTGTAGCTGCCACATATGCAGGCATGATGAAATAGATCATATATCTGCAAAAAAATCAACGCCTTGCCCCTGATGGCCTTGGGCAACAAAAAATAAAATGAAAGGAAATTCCTGCTTTACGCTTTATGGCGCTTAGGTGAGCGCCAATGCCGTGTTGCGGCTAATGGCAATGCGTCGGGAGCAGCTCCCAGAACAATAAAATTCCCATTTAGACGCGAATGCTAACAGCCAACGGCAGCGCCCCAGACTCGGGCCAAGACTGATTTCCCCCTGTCCCACTTCCGCTCTAGCTGATTTCCAGTAAAGTGTGGCAGCAGCAGTTTTCCGAGTTGTTGTGTGTTTTGTGTTTACGTGAAAACAATTTTTATGGCATGTCAAAAACCTATTTTAATGCTTTTAATGAAAGCGAATTTTATTGCATTACTTTTCGATTTTACTGCCACCATGCCGGAGGAGGGGAGAGCAGCGGCGGCAGCATGTGCGTAAAAATGCACTCAAGTCAAAATGTTGACAAGATCGTAAAAACTCTGCACGGTATGCGAACCGGCGGCCACCACTCGAGGAAAACAGGTGACAAAGCAAAAACAAAGCACAGTTTTTCCATAACAAAAGCCACTTAAAGTGCCAAAATGTGGTTTTGCCGTTGCCTTCGGCACCGCAGCCCTACCGACAACGACCACATTTCCGCTGGCATTTCTGCATAAATTCAGAAGATTCCCCATAGTATGTTCAATTTGTTGGGTTTTGGTTTTTGGTTGTGCGCATTCGGGTCTTGGCTTCGGGCCTTCGACTACCTTTGCCAAATTCATTTGACCAGAAACTTAAGTTATATTTTGGAGTCGCGCCAACGGGAAAGCGGCGACAGCGGCGACAGCAGCGGGTCGACAGAGACATGTTTAGTGCCACGGCAGCAGCAGCGACAAAAGCTTTCAGCCATAAAGAGCCACCAATTCCGAGGACGACATTGTCGTCCTTCTCGTCGTCGCACACGTCGCCTGTCGGACCACTCAATGTCAGCAAAATGCACATGCAGTTCGCCTGGTTAAAGAGGGGTCGCCCGGGTCGCCGGGTAACTCGCAACTCGAAACAATGCCGCCACAGGCACAGGCTGCCCCTGGGTGCCCGGTCTACTCAGCTCTGCTTTTGGTGCTACTTCTGCTGCTGACAAGGCTGACAATACTTTGGAGTTGGACGCACTTTTGCGATCCATGTCCATGCATTAAATATTGCATGTGCACTAAATGGATTTGGGTAGCCAGGCCCAAGACTATTGACAGGGTCAGTCATGCATTGTTGGCCGGCCAAAAACTGTCGAAATGTCAGGACAAGCACAACGAACGTCTTGGCCAGTAAAACATGGCTTAAGCAGTTCTTCGGGCCCATATTCAAATTTGGTAAGCTAACCAGCGCAAATTTGCAAGCCAACTTGCGTTTTTCACTTCCTTTTTAAAGTTACACTGCAATTAGGGGTGACTGCTAACCAATACCAAATCGAAATGGCATTGTATAGGTCTATGTCTTCTGTGACGAATTCTTGGTCTGACAATAAAGTGTCATTAGGATATATTGGCCGCCATTCGCGTCGTAAAAAGCAATGGCACTCGCTCAGGCCAAAGCAACAACAAATTCGTTTCATAAGCACATAAAATGGCAACAACCAAATGCAAATTAGCTAACGATGCGCCCTGTGCTCGCTCACACAAAGCACAAAACAACAACAACAGCAAAAAAGGTGGAGCATTACCCAAAAAATAAAATTTTCGCAAGTACATAATTTTCAATGGCAACGTATAAAAAGTGGCAACGATTTTGCAACGCAGCGTTTGCTGCACTTTGAAATACCCTAGAAATAGAAAGGCAATTGTCAAAAAACATTCCGCACTTGCTACTTTTAGCATGATCATAATTATGTAACACTGAGAGTAACAATAAAATGTAGGCAGAAAAATTCAAGACTGTGACGTTTAAAAGTAAATCACATGAGGATGTTATTTAAAATTTAAATTACAATTCACCGATTAAAATAAAAATAAAAATTGTGGGACGCCTAAAGATAAATAGGATGAGGATAGTTTTTTATAAATTTTAATTAATTAAATAACATTTTTAAAAAACTATAAGCAAACTATTTCTACTCCGGGATATGAGGGTTTTTTTATCATTTGTATTACAATTCACAACCTTTTTTTTAAACAAAATTAACATAAAAAATCATTACATACAGAATCTTTCTTAAAAATACCCTTTGCATTTCGGGTAAAATAAAAAGTAAATTCAAAACTGTCATTTAGAACTTGAGTATTTTGGAAGGGCGGGGGTGGGTTTGGGGCTCTTGACTGGGGTTGAGCCGAAGAGCGCTTGACGCAAAGGCCTGACATTGTTCTCGTTGGCATATAATTACAGTTATTTGTGTAGCTAATTAATTGCTAATCAATCATAGACCAAGACACCGAAAAGGACTCGTCCCAGTTTGCTTTGTTGTTGCCTGTCACAGGATGTCTCAATGTCTGCGCTGATGCTCATGCTGATGCTGATGGTAAAAGCTGGAGCTGCTGACGCTGCCATTGGCACTTCTAAGGCGTCGTAGTCCTGCCCTGCCCAGCCTTGGCCTGCCCTTTTCGTTCATAAACAAAAAACCCAGCGAAAACAAAAGCTTAGCAAGATTGATCACAACGGTCGCCGACGGCATTGAGGCCGCATTGAGCGGCACCTGTTCGCTTACTCACGGTTATTAGCCAGGACACGCTAGCAAAGGACATGCAAATGGACGTTGGCGCAAAGTGTGCGACGTCAATGGCACTTTTTGCACCTTGCAAAGATTGTCGAGTGTTTTTGAGTAAGCCGTTGTCGGTTGTCCCGCCTCTCCGTCCGTCCATCTGGCCGCCTGTCACTCAGCCGAGTTGACGTTGGCTGACGTCAGCCTAGTCGTTTATCCTTTTGGCGCACATTTTATTTTACATAATTTGAACATTTAAGACGTGCCTGGGCATAGCCAAGAGGCTTTAGTTTTAGTTTATGCAGCCAGTGCGTAGTTCTCCACGTTTTTTTTTATTCCTCGCCCATTTTATTATTAAAAGGCATCGCATCCTTTACGCCCCAGTGAATTTTATGGCAACCAAGCCCCGCCCCCACCTCCACACACATCAAGCGAAACCCTTGTACACTTGAAGATGTTCTGGCGACAACTCGAGGAATCGCACTTTGTACTGGTTTTTGTTAAAACTTTCACGTTTGCTGTTTGCCGTTTG